GAGTCCTTTAACAGATGGATGCTCGTGTTTGCAAAGTGTGAAAAGACTTAAAGGGGAAATGATCAACAAAAACAACGAGGATGATAAAAACATTTTCGGCTCTGAAAAACTTTCTGCTGAGGACAGTGGCCCCCACATAAAAACACACTGGAGAGAGATCCAATCAAATCACTGCAAGCGTTTGACAGGCTCGACTACTGGCCAATAGGACACGTGTAAACATGCTAGTGGGGGCGGGACTTAAAGTATCCCTGTATTGTCCACTCCGAGAGCTTTGTTGTTCTTACGGGACAGAAAGACGCAGAAAATGGTCTTTAATTCGCCGTGATCGGTTCGTCTTAAGTGGGAATAACGCTCCACCGGGTCTTCTTTAATCTGAACCGGGTCAAAGCGCGGAGTTGAAACCGATGTCACGCGGAGAAAAGATGCGCATTTGTGGGACGGAGGCAGCTTAGCAGTGAGGTAGCATTAGCATTAGCTTCCTCCCCCCCCGCACCGGAGAGAGGGTGTCCAGGTTGGAGCGGAAGAGGAGAAACCCACCGGGATGCCTCACGCAAGTTGGGAGAAACTGTATTTCACTGCCCCGCCCGGACTCTCGGGGCTTTAAACACAAAGTATGTGCTGGTGTCGCTGATATCGAACTACAGCGAGTGTTCAGTGGCGGTTCTGTGACCGTAAACGTGCCACTTTAGCGAGTTAGCCACGTAGCCTCCAGCAGCAAGACGTTTAAAATGGCGGAGGGTTGGCCCGTTCCTTCGGCCCTTGTCTTCATGCTGCTCGGTTTGGCTGCCCGGGCCCTCGGGGCTTGTCCGGCTCCTTGTTCGTGTTCCGCGGGGCCAGACGGGTCCCGGGTTCTGGACTGCAACAGGAAGAGGCTGTCTGCGGCTCCTCTGGACCCAGACGATGGGATAACACAAGTGTAAGTTAGCTAGCACTGAGTCCACTGCACTGATTTGTTGCCCCACCATGGCTGCAGCGTTACACACCAACAAACACCGTTACATGTTAATATTGGCCGCTTCGCTCTATAAGATGTCATCTTGTTTAAATTATAATTCTTCAGTTTTCTTGGTAATCTTGTTTTTGTCATTCAGGATGATTCAAACTCACTTAACCAGTCACAGTGAAACAAGCTAAATTATAAGTGACATGTGAACCCAATGCTCTTTACACTCAGCTTATTAAGTTCAACTAAATCAGTCAATACAGCTGCAGTGATTATTTGGTGAACAAAAGTTTTAATATTCCGTTTTATTACACGCATGTTGAGTCGAGGTTATGGTCATTTAACAATGTGCAGTTTGTGTTGTTGTTATTTATAATACTTTAATTCCAGTATTTTTTTATTATTATGATTGATGATCAAATTCAAAACCACTCAAAAGCTAACTTATAACTGGGATATCAACATTATAGCTTTTGCTCTCAGGTGTCAGTTTATTACGTTCACCTAGCTCAACTGAACCAGTCAATACAGCTGCAGTAAGTCTTTGGATAGTTTAATATTCAGTTTTATTACACATATGTTGAGTCATGCTAATAGTCTCTTTAATGTGTAGTTTGTGTTGCTGTTATTACTTTTATTCCACTTTTTATTCTACACTTATCAATAATAGAAGCATAACTTCATCAGTACAGCTCAATAGCAACGTCACAGACTCCTTCATGACATGAAGTCTAATAATGAGCATTACTAGTTTATGACTTTGATGATGGTAGCATTTGTTTTGGAAAACACAGGATTCATTTGAGTGAATAATGGTATAAACATACAATGGAAATGTAACACCTAGTCCTCTAATTCTCAATAATGTAGGATGTTATGGTCAAGTACATCAAAGTTAAAATAGTTGTATTAGTTGATATCAATTATTATCACAATAAATATCTCATTGTTATTTAAGTTTAAAGGATTATTGCTTCTGAATGAATGTTGTAGTCTTCTTTATGGGCAGAGACAGACAAGCACTAGATAAATGCTGAAATATTTTATAAATCTAAGGATGATCAGTCATGTGTCATACCTGCTCACTGTACTCGCACAGTGCGGAAGCTATGTATCCGTATAAATTGCTCTTTTGTTACATTGCTATAAATGAAAACAGATTTACAATAATTGCTGATATTGTTTTATTGTCCAGCCCCAGTATAAAGCCACAGCTTGATGTCCCTTTTCTGTTGATTGTCATTTCAGCACCATGAATCACAACGAGCTGACTGCACTTCCATTTCTTGGAGATGTTTCCTCAAACATCACCTCGCTGTCGTTGTAAGTACACGCTCCCCTTCTGGGTTTCTTGTTTCTCACAAGTCAAACAAATCTCGAAAATAAACTGAAGATTTCTTTATATAGCATATTCCCCCACTTATGTTAAACACACACACTGTTGATGTCTGGAAATTCTGTTTTGTGTTTACTTTTATGAATCAACATGTATCATTTGGTACAAAAATGACATAAAACACTGGCTCTCAAGCTTTAGAAGTCTTTTTATGTGTCTTATATAAATTTACTGGTACAAAACACTGGTTTTGTTTTTTGTCAGAATACAAAAGATGCCTGTTTTTCATCCCCTTGATTTGAGTAAACCATCAACATGGCTTGCCATAGTAATCAGTAGCATTCTGATTTTGAAGACTAATACCTTTTTTTTAAAAATTCAGAGTCCACAATCGGATCTCAGAACTGTCGATGCATCAGTTGCAGCCCTACATTTCTTTGGAGACGCTGGACCTTACATCCAACTCCATCTCTGAGCTCAGAGTTGGATCCTTCCCCTACATGCAGCTGAAATATCTGTGAGTACTCATTGCTCATCTTCAGTTTTAAGTTTTCAACTAGGTTAGAATCAATTTATCAAATCCTATTTAATTTCCAAGACACTTACTAGTAACTAAAGGTGTATGAATGAAGAATGGGCTCTGGATAAAACAACAGTATGATGATTCAGCATGTATGACTGAAGTAGAGCCTATATAAAGCAAAGCAGCACTGCAGAGACCATTCATTGTGGTCGATGCTAAATAGGCCACAGCACTAAAGACACCTTGTTTTGGTTAGTTTGCTGTCGATAAGGAAGCATCTTATTGTAGACAAACAGACTTTTGTGGATATTCACACATACACTAGATGTAAACAAAGTAAACATTGTGTTCCTGACTGATTTAGGATCTTACATTTCTGCTCTTTTAGGAATTTGAGTAATAACAAGATCAGTGTCCTCGAGCCTGGTTGCTTTGAAAACATCTCCAGCTCCCTGCTGGTGCTGAAGCTGAACAGGAACAGATTAGCTCTGCTGCCATCCAAAGTCTTCAGACTTCCTCAACTTCAGTTCCTGTAAGTATTGTACGATTTTGTTTATAATGCCAAACTAAAATCTGTGGTGAAAAGCCAAGAATTAAGCTGTTTATAGTTGGCAGACATATCTGTGGGTTTTAAATCCGTTTTTAACAGTTCCTTCCATTTCTTGAAAATAAAAATGCAAACTCGTAGGGAAATGAAGCGTAACAAGATCAAGATAGTGGACAGCCTCACATTCAAAGGGATGGACTCACTGAAGTCACTGAAGATGCAGAGGAATGGCATCACTAAGCTCATGGATGGAGCCTTTTTTGGACTTAACAACATTGAAGAACTGTAAGTACAATGCTAAAGACTTCCCTTTGAAATGACTTTAAACATTGTGTTCAGCTCCTTGTTTATTAATTTATTTAATTGGGACAATGCATGTTAATAAACATGAGTATAAAATAAACTATTCAAACATGCTGGATTGAAGCAAGGATGCATCTGTAGTCTCTACTTAACATAAAACAAAAACACTACTGGTAACAATATACAAAAACAAATAAAATACACAAGAAGAAATGCCAAATATATTATGGAGCACACTGACTTGTGGAACAGTAAATTGTAAAACCTGTTTTAAAATGGCCAGAAACAGATATAAGGGCAAACATAGCTGGGGCTGGGTGTGGAAAAAGAGAAATACAATCTGGATTTATCCTTAAAAAATAAACAAAATTATCTCATAACAATTATTCCGTTAATGTGAT